TTGCTATGTAAATCACTCCGTGACAGCTTCAGTAATCAATCTCAAACACAAATAGACCAAGCCCCTGGTTAGAGAAGATGATGAGCACCTAACAACTGTGTCAATAAAAATAACAGCAAGATCACCAAGGGTTGAAGTGGGATTGTGTTCACATCTCAGCCGGTTTACATGGATTTCCTCTTGCTTTCTTTCATGCATTTAAAGTCCAGTGCTTAGTATGACAAGCTAAATATGGCATATCTTCAAGATTGTTGTAAGCATCAGGAAAAAAGTAATAATTCAGAGATGTTCATGGGGCCTGCAATTTGCAAAATGTGTGGGCAAACCGAAAGCAATAGAACCTGTGATAGCTGTTGGTGAGGCAGGATTAGGGCAGATGGACTGGATTCTCTGTTCTCACCTGGCCTCATTCCCACTTTCTTCCAGAGCTTTTCTGCAGCTCAAAGGAGGCACTGTAAACTACATTTCCCAGAGTTCCCTTGGTGCATGTTTCTGGGTTAGAGTGGGCCATACACTGGGGTGTGATTTGGAGATCTCGAGAGAAGAAGAGGTAGGGCAATGCATGGATAGCCCTAATGCTTGAAACAGTTTATCAGTGAACATCTTGAGAATCACCCCCACCCCCACCACTGATGCCGCACAGTGAGAAAATGAGCAGGAGATTCCCAGGTGTTCCTGACAAGTGCAGAAATGTCAGTAAGCTCTTGAGAATCACAGCCTCAATGCTGAGGCTGAGACTCCAGGGGTCTGCTTCCCAGCTGTGCAGCTTCTCATTCCTTACATTGAAACCCTTAGTAATTTGAATACATAGTGTGCCTTCTATTTTCCCTGTCTGAATTCAGACTGATACCATAGCATTTTTCCCCTTTGGTTTTTCAAACTTCCTCTGCTCCTGAATTTATAGATTTGTAATTTTAAAAAGGGTGGGAGGACATAGACAGCAGCCGATTCTTTGGGCAGAACCAGGCAAGGATGTTGCGCTTCCCTGCAGCCGTAGGGCAGGCTTTGCAATTCACCGTGGGTGGGGGACATTCCCAAGCCTTGCCTCTCCCTGTACCTCTTCTCTTCCCTCCAGCACAATGCCAGTTAGTCCTGCATTTGCTTCATGCACCCTCTGAAGAGGACAAATGACAGGGGTGGCCTGCGAATCAAGGACACAGAGTTTGGTTTTCTTTCCTTGCCTCTGTTATCGAGTGACTCAGTCTCCTCTGGCAATTCTTGGTATCTTCCTCTGCTAAATGGGAATAATAATGTTTACCCTCTCCACTTTATAGGGTTGTCTTGAGGATGATATGGTCTATTCTCTAAATAGCAATGCTTTTCCCAAAAGACACAATGGTCTATATAAATGCAAATTCTACTTCTAACAGCTATCAGATAAAAAGTGGCAAAACCTGGCATGCAGGGGTATATCCTATGCATATAACTTATTTAAAGAGACATTTCTCCAACAAACATTTCAACATTCCTCATAATATGGATATGCACTGAGAATATAGTGTGCAGACTGCCACTAGGTAGCAGCTGACCTTCCTGACACAGGCCCAAGTCCCCTGTACTCTGAAGACAGGCTCAGATCTACGGCATAATTCTGAGAGATTTCAGGTGGACCATTCCAAATCCATGCCTATACCACAACCTACATCTTACTGAGAGTCCAGCCCCTTCTTTGAGAGGTTCTGTTGTAGTAAAATAATTCTATTAGTTGCTTTAATTCATCCTATTCTCTCCTACCATCAAAACACTTGAGTTTGAAACTATGACATTAAAATAATTACCTACTTGGAAGTTAAGTGACATGGCTGAATGCCATCTGGGAATCAATCAATGCAGCTCCTGTCCATGACAATTTTGGTCTCTGAAAGCAACAGAGCTGATCTCTGAGGTGTACAAGGCCGGCTCTTCCTTTCTGTATGTGCTCACCTCCCAAGGAAGATGGATATCCTTTCTCAGATGCAATCCAGTCACCTCCCAGAGGTGATCTAAGTTACTGACTTTCCCAGGGTTTCTATCACTCGTCGTTTACTGAAAAAATATTTACTGAGTAAGTTGGAGGCCCTGTGCCAGGCACTGCAGATACAGTGATGAGCAAATAGGCACAATTGCTTCCACTCCTCCCATGCCTATCAGGAAGATGGTCCCTGAAAAGGGAGAACTGACCTAATGTGAATGTGCAGACTGGGATCAGAGGAGTCTTCCTTGGATATTTAACTTCTTTAAATAGCCAGTGATATTTAAGCTGACACCTGAAGAATGAGTAGAATCAGTGAAGTGAAAGCAGAGGGTTACCATGTGCACGGCCCCTCCAGGAGTTTACAATTAAGAGGAGTTCAAGACGTACATACATCTGACCTCTATCACACAAAGCAGAATATGAACAATTGTACTAAGGAGAAAGAAAATTAATATTATAAATACTTTAAGAAGGCAAAAATCAATACAAATAAGATCAGAAAAAATTTCATACAGGAAGCAAATGATGTATAGGTTATCTGTAAATTACAGATGGCAAAATAGAGTCCCTTGTCTCCTGATCATTATTCTGGACCCAGACTTCCTTTGCATTTGAATCTGCAGTCCTCAGGACATGAATCTTGGACCTATCATACTCGACATTGGAAGTTACATAAAAGGACAAGCAAAGTGAAAATGGCATGTACAGACAAATAGCAATTTGCACATGAACTACTGCCCGCCAGTTTGTGTAGTTGTTGGTGCGGAATGAAAAGAGATTGGGAACTGGATGAATCAAAAATTATTTGCAAATAGAACTTCTGCTCAGGATTTTATTGACCAAGTCTCAGACATCATGGAGGATTTCACTTGGGAAAGAATGGATGTAATTTGCCTTCACAATGTGAAAGCACCTCCCTGGGTAAATACCTGTAAGCTGTTTATGAAAGTATTAAATAATGACACTCAAATAATTTGGTGATTTATATGATCAGAAATTTAGAATAATTCCTTTTACTTAATATATAAAAAACAAGACGGCATTAAGTGATTTCATTCTGAGTGCCGAAACCTATGGCTTTCCCTATTTGTTGTAAAACTCATGCCAAGCTGAAATACATCAGTCTCATCTTTTCCCTACCTAGATAAGTCCAAATCACAAGTCAGCCTTAATGAGCTTCTTCGGTTCTCTCTTTACATGTCTTTTCGTGACCACGGACCCCAAGATCTGGCAATCATTTCATGATGCTAACTTGCTGTTTTTCATCATTTATATGCTTAACACTAATCAGGCAACCAGCACATTAAACATATAGGGATATTTCTCAGTAAAATCAGGACATCTGTTGGTTTCCTTTAAATAATATAATATTTTCCCATTGCTACTGGGCTCTGATGTCATCCAAGAGTGCCTAATTTCACTCTAATGATTTAAGGTATTTTCCTATATTCCAAGTATTACTCAAAATATCTTCAAACTTATTGTCTCATAACCCATTCCTTCAAGGTTCAGATTTCTCATTTTACTAATATAATTACAGATGATCTTTGTCCTGTTACTGATGATTATCTTTTACCTAGTCATGTCCTTCTGTTGTGAAATCTCAATTTCATGGCCAGACCAACACTTACAAGTGGGCTTGAGGGCTCTAAGACTTCAGTTCCTGTGCAGCATGCTCAACAGGCGATAGAGTAAAATTGCCCTTACTGGAATATAAGAAACTAATGCATAAATTCATAAGGATGATGCGAGGGTTAATTTGTTATTCCTTATAGATATGGCATTATTTTGCCTTTGGGCATTGCGGGAAAAAAAAAGAAACAGTCTCTAATGGGATGTGTTCAAGACCTTCATAAGTACATTCAATGATGGGGACCTGTTCATGTCCCTCAAAATATAACATGTTGGCAGCTATTTATTCTACCTGCCTTTGAGCAAAATTGATTTTCACAAGAGAATCACAGTTGACCCCTAATAGAAACAAAATTTATTTAGATGCAGAAAAGTTCTATGGTGTCTAGATTTCAAACAGGCAACACAAGTCCAAGTCACAGAAACCTGGAATCTTACATTACTCTCTTGATCACTCCAGCAATATAAGTGCACCATTTGCCCAAAGCCCGCATGTGTTATTAGAGGGTCAGCTTCACCATTTTCTTGGCAAAGAAAAATACAGTGGGTATCCATACAGTGGTACCTGTGCCCTGCCCACACATACTCCAGTGTAGTCCTTATTCAATGTCCCCTGTATGTACATGGGGAATTGCCTGCTTAGGGAAATGATATGTTGTTCCCTAGATCAAGGCCTGTTCTCACTTACCCTGAGAAGGTAGATTCACAATTAGGAAACCTGGCTGTAGTCATAACCGTGGTAAAATGGGGTAAACAAGTTATACCACATGGCCTCTTCCTGTCCTAACCAAATCCAACAAAGGTGATCACATAGTCTTTGGTTTAAGCAGCCAGCTTAGGAATGAGGCATTTAAAAATTATGCTTCATGCCGACTCTAGAGATGGCAATAGGAATTCAAGGTTTTGGAAGAACTGGGGGAGCCAAAGTAATGTTTTGGAGATCAGAGAATTCAGGGAAAACTGCACATGATTCTCTGCAATATTGCCAGGCAAATTGGAATTCCTTTTAGCTGTAACGTAGAGTTCATTCATTTGGAAATTACAGATTTCAACTATTATGCTCCTGAACAATGATACTTTTGCAAATATTAGTGAGTTTCTGATTTCTCTCCATTGCTTTTGCTGGAGGTAATGATCTACTTAGTAATTTTTAAGTACTATCTCTTTATTTAAAGAAAAATATCACCAAATTATATTATACATGGATTTATTTGCCTTCCCAGTAGACTGCCACTAAATTCTGTTTAATGTGAGTTAAAAATGCTAGGCTTGACAGTATGGTTTTCTCATCAAGGGTTTGAAAAGCACTGTGTTGCTTCTAAAGTGCCAAGAGAGCAGTAATGAGTCTAGAGCTCTGCTTGGTGAAGTGTCCCGCCCAGTAGCCACTGGGAGTGATAAAAAGCTGAGTTCCTACCTCGGTGACTGGTGAGTTCCCTGGATGCAGGAGGCAGGGGCGTATAGTGGCACTCTGGAGAGGCAGCAACGCTGTCACTGGAAGCCTGTGTGACACAAAAAAATCAACATGAAGTAACACCAAACACTAAATACCTACATTTACCAAACATGTCTGCGGGGATCTGGGTGTGGAGGAAATATTATCAACTGAGATTCTTCTTAGGAAGCAAAACTTGTGAAGATAACATTCTGGTAAGTGTATAGTAGGATATGAATCTCCGAGGGGCCTTGGAGCAGGTGAAGGGCTCTGAGACAAGGGTCTGAACAGAAAGGAGGAGGAGGGGGAAAGAAGAGAGGTTAAAGGTGGGAAATGCAGTGAACTTAGATTTCCATCCCAGGCAGGATTCCAGTAACTCCTGTGGATTAAATGCTCCCTGTGAATAATTTCTATGGAAGCCAGTGAAGAGGCTCAATTTTGTCCCTGGGGTGGATGTGGATAAACAGGGTTGGTTTATGGGGGCCCAGAGGCATGGAGACAGAGAGAAGGTGAGGATGTAAGACTCAGCAGGATGAGGTAACCATATGGAAAGACATAAACCATTGCAGACCATGCAGGTGAGATTCTGGCTAAGTTTAACAAAAGAACTGAGAATCCATCCGAAATTTGGAATATAATGGTTATCAACAAACCCTTTGCCATTCCAAGGTCCGAAAGAAAATGAAATATATCTATGTAGATGCTTTTACATTGTATACAAACATCTTTTTTATATTGTACATAACCATCAAACTGTATACCGTATGACCCATATGTACAAATGATGCAAACTTTCTTTCTCCCTAACTTTACACCCATGGGGGCTGAGACGGGAAGAAAGCACAGCAGCTGTGGGGTCAGCTGTCACTCAGACAGAACCAATGACCAGTATGTCACACTCAGAGTGTGACTGTTTATAGGAAGAACCATCTCAAGGTGCAACTCTTACTGAGACTTCTGAATAAACTACTACTATTTTTTAATATCTGAAAAAGAACATCTGCTAGGCTCAGAAGCCTAAGCTTACAACCTTTCCAAGCTTCATGAAAAAGTAAATTTCATTAATGCTACATTTTTCTTTCTGGAATAGGAAATACATTCTGTGGGATATATTTGCCCTGCTAGAAGCAAGCCTTGTCTCCAAAGAGATTATCTACATTACAGGAATCAAAACTAAGCAGGAGATTAGACCTACTTGCTAGAAAAACCCTTTAAACCCCAGTTCTGACATTTGAGATGTTTGATTAAGCGGCTTTCAGTAGAGACTTACAGAAAGAGTTCTGAATGGAGCAAAATCAGCAGCTCTGTCCCTAAGGTAAGACAGATTTCAGGTAGCATTACTTCTCTTCAACTCCAAGGGAAATACATGATGCAATGGTATGGGGCACAAAGAGATAAAAGTTCAGTCACCAAGAAAAGCATTTTAAAAAGTAGATTTGTTAGATCCTACATCATTAGATATTTAGGATGCTGCAAGAATGTAGGAATCAGTGATTAGGTTAAAAATTCAAATATGGAGTCACCATATGTCTATTCATTTGGAACTGAGGGTCTCCTGTAATCCTTACTGATAAACGAGACACAGTAACAACTTCTAAATATGGCATCTACTCCACCTTGAGGCAGGAGAGATGGGGAGAGATAATGGTGGCTGGGCCATGTTTCCACAGATTTACCAAACTTCCTTCATAAGAGGCCCTTAACTTGCATCTCTGTCAATATTTCTGCTCTACCTCATTGCTAAAAAAGCCTAAAATTCCAATATAAGTTTTAGGTTGCTATATTGTGATATTGCTTAGTACTTTTAATCTCAAGTTGGGCTGTTGACAATTTGATGACAGCTTTTCCTAAAATTACTGGGAGAAACTACCTTTCAGCAAATCCCTCTGACTGGGCAAAACATTAGAGTTTTGTAACCACGAGTAAAATAGCTATTTAGTTTTACTTCCAGTTGCAGTCAAAGTGAAAATGGTGTGGCTTGAGTTCTGTTTTGCTGTCATCATTCTACACCTAGAATTTAATTACTTTTCTGCTCAGTGTCCATTTATAAACTCAAGTCATGGAAAAGAACAATTTTGCAAACTATGCTTTTTGGTGAGATACTCCATGGCTGTTTAGGAAAACCACTACCAGTTAAGATTCTAATTACTGGTTCTTTGATTTGGCTTTTATAAAAATGAAGTCCAGGTGATCTTTTCAATGGTAATGTACACATTTGTCCTCTGAAGATGATGCTTAGAAGCATGACTCAGAAAAGCACAATTATCATATAGGAAAGAAGTAGACAAGACTGTCTTAAATTTGAATATTACCTGCACAAGGATAAAGAACTTCTTTTGAAACTGAAGCAGTATACCCATAGTATATGGAGTATGAGATAACAAAAATGTAAGCAGAAAGATCTAGTGTTTTCTTTTACCTGGGTTGAGACGATATACTTAAAATGGGAATAAGGAAATTTGGGTAAATCTGAATGTTCAGAACTACAAATACTCTCAAATCTCTGAGTCTGCCAAACTTCCTAACTACCTGTAGCAAAGAATTATGCTTTTACATTTTACTTTTTAAAGCACTCCTGTTAGAAGAGATTTGTAACATCTACAATTAACTATTAGTACCCAAAATACATTTGTCACTAAATTATCAAATAGAAATATAATAGAAAATGGACAAAAGCAGTGTCAGGCAGTTCAAAAAAGAGAAAACCTGAGTGCTCAGTAAATAAAAGAGAAGAAGGGTCAAATTAATGAGTCCTAAGGACAATGCAACTTAAATCAGGTTAAGATTTTTCCACTCATCATACCGGCAAACTTTCAAATCTCCCAATAACAAATGCTAAGGAGAATAAAGGAAAACAAAATGCTCATCTTCGTGTCCCTTGTCAATGGGAATGTATAGTGGTTCCATTACTTCAGAGACTAATTTAGCAATATCTAATAAAATTGAAAAGCGTACAGCAATTCTGTGTAAAATATATACGCTGGAAAATTTCACTCAAATCTGTAAGGTGGAACATAAAACAGTGTTTGCTGCAGAATTATTTATCACAGAACAACCTGGAAATAATTCAAATGTTTGTCAATGAAGAAAATGGACAAATAAAATGTTTATTCATACGACAGAACAATATTTAGCATTTAAGAGCAATAAACCAGATTTATGTATCTCCATTTGGATAGGTCCAAAAATGTAATAGAGTGAAAATACATGTTGAAAAATGATAAATGTAATATAATATTATTTATACAAATTGTAGTTGTTTGATCTCATGTGTGTATAGAAACATCTAAAATTACAAAAGTTATCCATTAAATTCATGAAAATGGTTGCTTCTACCAGAGGGCAGAGTAATAGGACTTGGGCTAACGGGACAGGGGGAGCTTTAATTTTATATATAAAGTTTCTTTCTTTTATTTAAAAAAAGGCTTGAAACAAATATAGTAAAATATTAGAAAATACAAATGTTGTATGTGTTCATTATTTTTAAATTTTTCTAAATTTTTTGAAACTTATCAAAGTTAAACAAGAAAACTGAAAAAAAAAACCCAAAACTCCTGTTTCCTCTCTGAGGCACAGTCATGTATTGATAGGAACCCATAATTAGAGGAAATTTCCTCTGACAATTTCCTAGTCCTTGCATGACATGGATTACTGTCATCTCTGGTTGGTCTTTTGTGATGAAATACCCCATTTCTGTTCTTTCTAAAGCTACTGAGTATGACAATAGAATGGAAAAAGCTGATAAGGAATGGTAAATTTGTATCCCCTTCACATCAAGGCTTGAAATGATCATTGCAGCCTGGTTAGTCCTTCTGCCTATGATTTGTCAAAGCATACTGAAGGTTTCTGTACACTTCCCCTACTCACGATAGGAGAGTTGCTGATAATATATTTAACACACATCAATAATGATAATAGCCACTAATATACTGTGCTCTGCAATTTCCATAATGCAGGAAGGAAGGTAGAACTTTGGCAAGCCCATTGGAAAAGATTCAATGACAGTACAGAATACTCTACAAGGGACTGGCAAAGTGAGAATTTCACTCAGCGGTTACAGAAAACAAAAGTCTTCAGATGAACATGTAAAACTCAAGCCCCTCCCCATTGTATGTATTCCACAGAAACCTGCATTCCAGAGGACATTTTGGAACATCGTGGATGCCCTGAAGGAAAACGATACAGACCACAGGAGGAGAGATTTGGCAGGCTTCAAAACAAGAAGGGGGGAGCTACAAAGCTGTTTAATAGCTATAAATCTCCCACTCTTTTTCACAGAATACCATCTAAGACCACAGCTCCACAACTCATTCCCCATTACTCAGCTCAAGTGGAGCGCTCTGGCATGCTCACTCACCCTTAAATCATACACCACATAAAGTGATCCTGGGTCTGGGAAATTTGTCAGCCTCCTTCAAGTAAAAGCAATCTTCACTTTTCATCACAATTCATCCCCTGAAACTGTGGTATAAAGCAGACTCCTTTAAAAACATTTATTTTCTCTCATAAGAAAAAGCATCACTCACTTATTTATCAAGTATTTAATAACCACCTACTATATGCTGAGCCCTGTGCTGAGAATACCAAAAAAAATTAAATGAGGACCTTGGTTGTTCCCAACTCATCAAAAAAATTATAACCATGATTAATATTGGTTATTAAGAATCACCAACTGGTAACACCCCCATACTCTACATTATCAGAGAAATATTTGCCTGACTTTTATTATGGCATTGAAACAGATGGAACAGTAGCTAGATCCTTGCTTGTTTCCTATTCATACTAAGAAAGAACTTTCAAGATTAACTATATTAACTTCTCAAAATTAACTATATAATTAACTCTTATATCCAATATGCTGCCAGAAATACAGAAATAAGTCAATGATGATGACTGAGAGAGTAAAACATTTTAATGTGAAAGATAAACTATATGTACAATGATTATAATTCAACACAACAAAAGTGAGGGCCAGGTTGCTAAAGTCAGTGGTAAAGTTTGCCAGCATCTAGAGGATTAAGTTAGAAGCCAAGGAGAAGGAAAAACCTTCCGACTTGCTTATAGGTG